CTTGTCTTGTTACAATCTCACTGCTTTCTCCTTACTGGCCTGGTTTTATAAAACCATTTCCTCGAGAGAACCATTGACATTCCACTCCGCATCCTAGCTCATGATCATGGAGGCTTGTCTTGATGGGAAAATCCGTCCATCCTTCGTTTGACACGAGTCACTGTCCTTGTGCTTGGCCAGGGTAAAATCCCTCCTGCTAGAATGGTTCTTGCCTCTTGCATTTGTACGCAATGGCAGGTCCCTCAGGAGTAATCAGCTCACGGGTTTAATCCCTTTGGAAATTGGCTATCTACCATCTGTGTCATCCCTGTAAGGCTCTTCTCTGTCACACGATGATAGTTAGGCTTGAGCTAAAAAACGAGCACCTGTTCGGTTCCCCTCAAACATGCTTGAGGCGAACGGAACAGTTCTTTTTTACTCTTCTGTTCGCAATAAAAAAACAACACGACCTTGGTTTGGCTGTAAGTGCCGAGCCACGCCGAACACAAATTTGTTCATGTTTGAAACACACCTGTCATTTATGATTTTTGTCATTAACGAACAATATTGCTCTGGTTTCTTATTTCCAGAACCTCCCAGAAACATTCAGGGTGTAGGGCACTCGAATACAATGCAAAAATCAAGGTTGTGAGTAGTGGCACCACAAAAAAACACACAAACATGTTCGCTTAAACATGTTTGTGTTCGTGGCAAATACGTCAGGCTTCACCTGCAAGGCGAACGCACGAACACCAGAAGTGTTTGAGTTAAACCAAACACGTTCGTGCCCCCCCCCCCCATAACGTGTTCGTAAGGTGTTCGACCCAAACACGTTCGTGGTCGGGTTTTGCTCATCTCACAACATAAGTCTGGGCTGAGCCTGCTTGACTTGGGCCGTGACAAGCCGTTGGGCTGACAAGTCGAGCTTGAGGAGCTGACTCGGCTCGTGGCTCGTCTGTCGTAGCAAGCTGGTCGAGCCAATAAGTCCGTCGTAGCTCTGGCTTTACCACGATCCGAACGGTACTGCTCGATGAGATCTGTCGCCGCCTTGATCCAATTTCGTGCGGATCTGCCGTCTACACGTGGACGGGGCAAAAGTGGCACGTCTTCTCGATAAGCCAGTAAAGGCTCACCAATGAGCAGACTATTCGTCGAGCAAGCAGCAGAGCCGGCGGAGCAGGATCATTGCTCAGCTCGCCCTGCTGACGAGTCGAGCCGACAAGCCGAGACGACAAGCCAAGCAGTTAGGTCAGTGTTTGTTCATGTCGGCTCACTTTGTTCATGTCTGCAGAGGTTCATAGTCAGCCCTATGCTGGCCAGGATAGAAATCAGTTTAAACCGGACTGACTCGCTCCTAATTTGGCTTGATTATCAGGCTGGTGAAGCAAGAACCAGGCCAGCCCAATTAAGGCAAATACTCATGTTTCATCTCATGCCACTACAACAACTGACTTAAATACCTTCTCTCTGGTTTGCCTCGTTCATATCCTTTGGGCGGTTCTCTCGCTAGCTCCCTGCTCACCAGCTCCATCCCCGCTGACATTGGCTTGCTGCTCATGTGAGGATCTACTTTATGTAACCAGCACACACTGCTTTTAAACACCAGTCTCCTAGGAACCGCTTATGCCGAACAAACATTTTCGGTTCACCTACACGGGGTGTTCGATTGTGTTTGTCCTCGATTGTTCTTGTTTTGTCGCTAATTAACTTCAAAATTGCTGAGGAGAATTCGAGATCTTGAGTCAACAGCCACCTTCCTGTCTGCCGTCAGCTCATTTTATTTGACCCAACTTATGGTCGGGTCGATCTGCCCGGGTTCGGGTCAAACCCGACCCAACCGCAACAAGAACAGACCGGGTCGGAGACAGCAGGGTTCCAATCCTACTACGCATCAACCCGAGCCCACCTCGGTTGGGCCAAGCCAAACCCAGATCGGGTCGGGCAAGGTCGACCCAATGCTTTAGGAGCCCTACTCGTGGAGTGCCAGGGTAGAGGCCAAGGTAGTTAGGTGATGACAGAATGGGTTGACCAGAAATGTGTCCGTATAGAGCGATATAATTATCATCTATGCATCTGTTCCCTGTCATTTTAATCTCAGAGATGTTTCGATGAATCAGCTTTCAGGAAGCATTCCTGCCAGTGTCAGTGCTCTCACTCGAGCCACTACCTTGTAAGTCGCACACAAGCTGCCAAGAAGCTAAGTCTCTATGTATTTCAGCCAGCACCATTGTTCGCAATAAGCGTCTACACACATGCTCACCGTTTCAGAAAGCTAGGCTGCTTGTAATAATCTGGAAACGTACGTCATGTCGGAGACAAGACAAGTAGACAGAGCACAGTACTCAACCTGGTCCTGTACTTCGAACTGGATCCGGTTCTACTCAAGCTGACTCTACCACTTCAGCAGTTTGATCTGACAAATGGCTAAGGTTAGGTAAAAGTAAAAAGCTGGGGCTATATTGTTTTTCCCCTTTTCTCTAGCCACATGGGTTGAGGAAGGGCATCAGGCTTTTTTCAATGCAAGGACTTCAACGCAGCGTGCGGGACCAGTTCAACTGGGCCAGGCTCAGGCCGGCCAACTGAGTCAAAAGATCGCTCTGACGAACCGCCATAAGCCGAGCTGGGCTTCGAAATTTGCTCATGCATTCTGTACGAACCTTGTGTTGTGTTCTTTCTGGCCTGCACTTTGTGGTAACCGACATCACTTCTCTGAATTTCCTGCTTACCTCCTCTGGTTATCCTGGAATCGCATCCCTTGTTGCTCCATGCAGGAACTTCTATGCCAATCGGCTCACTGGCTCCATCTCTGCTGAGATTGTTAACATGACAAAACTAGTAATCCTGTAAGACCCTCCCTCATTTCTCTTTCCTTCATTTGCCAATTCGTTCCTCCTTATTGTTCTCCTGCTTGGTTCTCCCTGTTCAAGTGCTAGAAATTAGCTGAAAGTTGAACCGGGCCGGTTCATCCCGAGCCGCAGCCCACTGCAAGCCTAGGCCCTAGCACATATATCAAACAGTAAATCTAGTAAGCAAATCTCGAATTTTTTAGTAGCACTTGAACTTTGCACAATTCTTATGTATCACCGTCACGCCTCTGGCCACGGTTCATGATCGCTCTGCCTTTCAGTCTTAAATACCCTCGAATTCCCGTGGTACCCTCGATTTCACTTGCCCGAGGTATTCGTTAATGGAATTTGAACACCTCTTGAATGCATGCATGTGACTGTATGAGGACGTTCCAAGCATGCACTGAATTTTTTTGTTAAACTCGACTGTAGCAGCACTGCATGGATGGCTGGCTATATTGCTGTGCTAGCGCCTTTAAAAAATTAGTCGTCATTGATGCTAATGCATGCTGACTGGAGTGAAGGTTGCTGGTTTTGGGACACACCAACACCAAGCATGACTACATGCAATACTATATGTATGCCTGCAGTTGCCATGCCAGCGCCGGAGCCGCCTCCACATCCGCTGACCCATCCGCCGGAGCCGCCTCCACATCCGCCCGAGCAGACATGGTCGGATCTACGACGGGCTGTGCCTGTGCTGCATATCATGACGAGCTGGCTTGCTTCATCGTAACCAACCCAGCAAGCTGGACCAGTTCGGCTGGGCCCGGCTCAGGCCGGCCAATTGAGACAAAAGAAGGCCCAGTTGGACACATGACAAACCCCATGGGCCGTACTGGGCTCAATAATTTGCTCTTGCATGAAATACTGTCCCGTATTCCTTTGCGTCCCGCACTATTCGTTGGTCGACTTGTTTTTTTTATATATACATAAATAGCTTGCTTGTTTTTTTCTCCCTTTGGCTCTCTTGCAATCTCACTCCTTGTTCCTCCATGCAGGAGTCTCCAGGAAAATGAGCTCACTGGCTCCATTCCTGCGGAAATTGGTAACATGACAAAACTATTATATCTGTAAGCCCATCCCTGTTTTTCTCTCCCCTTCATTTGCCAACCTCTTTCTACTTATTTCATATTACATCAACTCCAGCTGTGCTTCCTTTCTGATTCTCCTGCTTGTTTCACCCTGTCATAATCTAGAGGTGAGCAGAAAACCGAACTGAGGTCCTTTTTCGCCTTTTGGTTCAAGTCGAACCCGTTCAGGGTTTGACTCAAACCGGGCTGGTTCGTTTCGAACCGCGGCCCAGTGCAATTTGTTTGGATAAAATGGTTGTGAGCATGTCAGCGGTCAATTTTTGCATTTGAAAGTCGAACATAGCAAGGTACGAGTGAGTCCAATCTGAACTGAGCCTACGTTTGGTTCTGTGCTCACCTGTGGAAAGTACTCGACCAGGGCTCATCTGCCGTGACAAGGGTATTTATCCGAGAGTAGAAGAAGGGGGCTCTTGCAAGTGCTGTTGATGCACCAGGAGAAGCGAGAAGTGTTTTTTTTTTCATGACAGCATCTATGAAATGAAAGCGCTTTTGTCTAACAAAAAAACATCGTACTTTTTGATAATCCTCTGTAGGCAGGAGCAGATGGACGAACTTATTTCATCCCAAGTCCGCCGTGATTCTCCAGTTGCATCCTTCCCTTCACTCCTCTAACATCCTTCCGTCTCACCACCATGCCCACCAGGTCTCTCGCCTTCAACCAGCTGTATGGCAGCATACCAAGCACTCTCACCCAGCTCATGCAGCTCGCATTCTTGTACGACCCACACATTACCTCACTCTATTTCACTTCTTCTCGTGCATACTCAGTAAATTACAGGAACACCTGCCGTGCATGCGTGCTCACGAATCTCTAACCAGTACCAACCAGCAAAAAAACAAAATCATTGCAAAACCATATGTATGCCCGTGATCACCGTTGCAGTGCCCTGTAGACTCATCTTCACATCCCTGGGCATTTCTCGCTTCTTCCTCTCCCTGGTCCTTCTTGTCCAACTCACCTTGCCCTTCTGCTCTCTTCTCGTAGAATCCTGATTATTCTCGTCTGCCAGCTAGTGTATGCCCCCTTCTTTTTCCCATCCAGATACCCACTCCTCTCAGCAACTCCTCACATCTTCGCTCCATGAACTCCACTTTTTTCAAATCCAGATGCACAAGCCAATACCCATCCATCCTTCATCCGGTACTTGCCCCTCCCCCCTGCAGCGACCTTTCTCACAACTTTCTCACAGGCCGCGCATTAAAGCTTCCTGCAGTGTTCACCCTGGATCTTTCCAGCAACTTCCTCTCGGGCCCTCTACCCGACGGGGCATGCCAGCCGCTTTCTTTTGATGCCAACTGCTTCACGCTGCCCCTGGACTGTGTCCTGGCACCGCAGCGGCAGGAGGCAGCATGCAATGCATTCTGTGGCGTCTCCTCTGCAGCTGGTGGTGCTGCTGCGTGTGGTGGACATGGGGTGTGCTATCGAGAGGGGCCTAGCTTGGCACCCACATGTCTGTGCGATGTGGGATTCGTGCGATCTGGAGACATCTTTTGTGTTTCCCTAGGTAAGGGGCACTATTTGAAATTGACGGAACATGACTGCATATTTATATATTGGTGGGATGGCCAACTCTCATGAACTACAGCACCTTGTTGTTATTTCGAGCCTCATCTCAAGCTCTTATGCCACCTTACCTTATCCCTGTCCGCCCGTCTGTTACACTTGTTTGTGCAGGCCAGAACGGGAGGTACTCAAGCAGCCAGTCGGTTCTCCCGCCAGCATCTGTGCTCACCAAGGGGACGCAGCGGGAGACGAGGGGAAACTTCACCACAACTCCGGTGACTCTGTTTGTGTTCGAGGAGGGGCAGCGGCTGTCCGGGTATGGCCTGCAGCTCGCCTTCCATGCCAACTTCACCTTCTCCCTCTCGCCTCAATCCGGCCGCGTCGGCTTCAACGGCTTTGCCTTTGTTATCTCGGCAACCGACCAGATGGGGAGAGGAACAGGTGTGGGGTATGGTGGAATGGACAAGCGGAGTGTGGCAGTTGAGTTTGACACTCGGCAGGACAAGCAGCACGGCGACATGAGCAGCCAGCATGTGGGGCTGAACATTCGAGGCGAGGACAAGTCGCTAGCCGCTGTGCCGTCACCATTCCCTCTAAGCAGCAAGAAGGCATACACGGCATGGGTGGACTATGAGCCGGGGGATCCTGGCACCATCCAGGTCTTCCTGGCTGACTCGAAGGAGAATCCGCGGGAGGCGGTGCTGGAGAGGAGGCTGGCGCTGTGTGAGGTGCTGCAGGGTGGGCCTGAGCAGCACGCCTTCTTCTTTGGCTTCGTGGCCTCCACCACTGTGAAGCCATTTCAGAAGCACATCATTTTCGAATCTACAGTGGACACAGGTTAGCATAGACATGAGCAGAACGCGTTACACGAGTCGAGTTTTACTCCACTCTCTTTTTCGCAGCGCCAACTCGATCGAGTCTGGAGTAGTCGAGTAAAGCTCCACCAAGCGTTTTTCTTACTCAGATGACCTGATTCCTTACTAGCCCTTTTGACGAGCACTTTGAAAAACGAACGAGTTGAACTGGTAGTGGGTTTGGGGTTGGGTCCTACAAACAAAAACATCTTATTTTGCTCCAATTGCTTTATCCTTTCCCAGGTCTTCCTGCTTCCCCCCGACCGGTCACACGTACTCCAGGTGAGAGATCGTTTCCCAAACTCGTGCTGGAACACTCGTTACCTCAGTTAAGACTGAAGAAGGAGGACGAAGGAGGCAAAAACTGTAACTGACTAACTGTAATTATCATCTGTACGGTCTGTACCGATATTGGTCCTCTTGTTTGTTAAACTTTCCACTACATCCTTCGCTTCACTCTCCATGTCCCTGCACCTTGTCTTCCTTTTTCTGGCCCCTGTGGATGTTTTCAATATGAATTGCGTATGCCTCCAAACAAATTGGTATGAGGGAAAATATTCAGCCAAAGTTATATATCGTGCATGCATAGTGCACCAACCAACATCCCAACGGTAAACCTTATCTAAAAAATATTGAAACATGGAATCTGAGCATCGTTAGGGTGTACCGAATTGGAGAAGGATCCTCAATACGATCAGGTTGCCAAAAGGGGTACCAATACAGGTGCATGATCAGGGTGGAACGGATTGCATGTAAGATGGATGTGAAGTGACAATAAACCAACAACCACATGAGTTGCAGATATTAGCAAAGCGTGGGAAACATTGACTTGATTGTATTCATGGATAGTCTGTGAACCGATTGTCCCTCTTTGCATTGCCGTTGTTTCAACTTGTGTTGTCAACATCCCTCCCATTCATTCCCCCATCGTGCAACTCTTGAGAGCATCCCAGCCTATGGCCTGCAGCTGTTAACGAACACGTATATGCCAGCATGGGCCAGCCCCTTCCCGCGCTACGTGAGTGCGGACTACCGAGTGGCGCCCGGCAAGCAGGACTCGTGGGACGTCAGCGACTACCACTCCTGGGACTCCGTGCCGTTTCTCGGCTGGCCCGTCAAGGACCAGAAAGACTGCAGTGAGTAAAATGAATAGAGAAGCATGTTGGAGCCAATAGATTGGCTGGTGTGTCGTGGACCTTTGATACTATCTGCTTGTTCTCTGCCTACTGTTCTGCTGCTGACCACGTGTTTCAAACAGCCATCCTACGGTACTCGGCTCAATACTTGCTTAGGATCCGCTCTGGTTATTCACCACTTTGTCTCAACACTCTTCAGATACACTTTGATTATTCACAAGATTGTTCTTGTCTTACCCAGATGCGTGTTGGGCATTCGCGCTGGTGGCGAGTGTGGAAGCGGCATACGGCATTGCAACGAATGGGGAGGCGCCGCAGTTGTCAGTGGAGTCGCTCTTTGCAGCCATGGGGCTCACCTCCGAGGCTGACAAGTGCAGCACGGTGGGCTCCCCCACCGAAGCCTTTGAAACGCTTCTCACGCTGCCCAATGGCGGAACCACAGAGGCTGGCGCACCTGTGAGTAGTGGGGCGGAGGAGTAGAAGGCTAGAGGGGACAGATGTATGCGAGAGAATTGTAAACTCAGAGTAGTGTGCCTGATGTTGAGATGAGTTGCAACTACACTACTGGTGGCACAAAGACTCTTCTCTGAGTTCTAGAGTCAGTCCTTGCAGTCACTGTCAGCGGTTGCAATCTCTAACAGTGCTGCGCGAATTTCTCTATACCATAAAAGTTATCTCGAAGTTGGATATGCTAAAATGGATTGGTCGATGCAAAAAGGCCAAGCTATTTATGCAGGAGACAAACAGATTCTACCACGACAAACTGAGAGAGAGCTGACTAAGCCTGTAAACAAACAACTCGGTATTTGCGTGGTATTCACGGCTCACGTGTGAGTAGTGAGGTGGAGGAGTAGAGGGCTAGAGAGGGATAGATGTTCATGAGAGCATTGGGAACTCTGAGTAGTGTGCCCGATGTTGAGAGAGTTGAAAATATACTACAACTGATGATATGGAGACTCTTCTTTGAGTTCTAAAGGCAGTCGTATCAGTCACTCTCAACGGGTTGCAATCTCTAACACAGGTGAACGAATTTCTCTACAGCATAAAAATGTCTCGAAGCTGGGTATGCTAGATGGATTTGTCGAAGCGAAATGGCCAAGTTATTATTGCAAGAGGCAAACAGTTTCTGTCACGACAAACCGAGAGAGGGCTGACTAAGCCTGTAAACAAAAAACTCGGTATTCGCATGGTATTGAGGACACGAGTGGACACTCAAGTGATAGTATGAACTCAAAGCGGCATACTATTCGCATTTTCTCGTTCATAAAGTATTGCCCAAATACTCGAGTAATGCAGAGATTCGTGAGCTGAGGATATCAAGCTTTCACACTCCAGCCTTGGAATATTCTGTAAGGGTAGAAGTATGATGGATATATTTCAAACAATACAAGAAAGCTAAGTGTCATTGAATCATATTCGCGATACAACCTTGAACACTATTTGCAATACGTCTGCAAAAAAATATTACTCCTGCTCTTTTTTACAGCTCAGAGCCCAACTTTGAGATTCCCTAACACATTCACAATTCAGGTTACATGAGTATAATATGTACGTTGTAACTGCCTAATTTTGCACCCCATTTTTGTACTGTTTGCTAGAATTTGCTAGGTTGAAGCAGGTTTGTCTTAACTTGTTGAATACATTTTCATCAAGCAAACCTTGTTTTCTTTTTGTTGGGGTCTCTTATCGTGTTTGTTTCTCTTCCATCCAACATTGTTTTTGCAATCCCCTTTGATTATCAACCTTCAGAATAAGAAGTACCCTCTTCACGGCTTTGAACGCACTCGGTTCAAGGGGTTTGTGGGGCTCATGGTGGCAGTTCGACGACAGCCAGTGGTGGTTCACATAGAGGCTTCTGCTCGGGATTTCGCACAATATGATGGGGTGGGTGCTGCCTGCAAAGACCCTGCATAATGTGCAAACGTTGTGAATAGTTTTGCAGAAGTTGTTATCCAGTTCAAGCTGATCAAATTTACAACACCCATTCTCGTTGTTGTTGCAATGTCCCCCTTTTTCTTCAGACCTTCAAGTACCAGGACCCGGTCTGCTATACCGGCAGACTGAACCACGTCGTACTCTTTATTGGCTACTTCGTCTTCAGAAATGACGGCAGTCAAAATCGCATTGCGCCTCCATTTTGGATTCTCCGCAACTCGTGGGGAGTGGAATGGGGTGACAGGGGCCATATGCGAATGGACATTCAGGGAGGTGATGGCGTGTGTGGCATCAACGTTCTGCCTGGCATCTACCCCATTGTCAAGAGTGAGGCATCTACCTAATGGTCTTGAGTGAGGCAACTTCCCCCATCGTTCTCTCCGTGTCTCGATCTCCTCACCCCTTCCAGTACATGCCAGGGTCAATGATCAGTGGTCCAGAGTGAAAGGCACAGAAAGGCTGCAAAGCACAGCCATTGAGTAGGGTGGAGTGGAGAGGTGGTCAACAGAGGGAAGGGAGTGCTGTCTACGTTCGTACAAGTGTCAATCTCCAACTCACGTTTCTTGCACCTCTCATTTGATTATTTTTGTTCATTCCTGCCCGTGGTCTTTTCCAAAGAAGTTGCATTTGCACCCATTTCTACTGCTCATGTTCTCGCCTGTACCACCCTCCAGTTCCCAAGGACCCGTGCGGCCAGAGGAGCTTCAAGGGTGATGGCGACCTGCAGCCCAGCATGAACCCGTGTGGGCGGTTCACATGCCGAGCTAACCTACGCAGTAACACCAACTCGTGTAACTGCTCGCTTTCGAATGAAGCCAGGCAGCCATTTGTTCAAGTTGCAAATGGATATGGATCTCAAACATGTGCCTATTGTAAGTCGTTTCGTTCTCGGACAATGATGTTCATCCATGGCCGTTGCCAAAAGTCTGTTCGTCTGGTTTGTTCGTCGACTTGGCCTCTGTTCTCTTTTAGGGCTTCTCGGTCTCCTCCATTCCCTCCCGTTGTTCTCGGCATATGTATGTCTCTTCTCACCTCATCCCTGTGCTCCACAATTGTGCTTCGCATCGCTTGCCAGTGGACGTGTGTGGGTCTGATTTGAAGAACCCCTGCTATGTGGGCACATGCATCAACGACGGCAAGGGCTCCTACTCCTGCATCTGCCCTCCCAACTACGTTGAAAGCACAACCATTGACAACTTCCCCACCTGCGACCCAGGTGCTGCTGCTTTGGCCTTGTTTGCAAGATGGTCACTACTTTCTTCATTAATTAATGTACCAAATGTTGGGGTCATCAGGACCCTCTCAAACAGCTTGTGCTCCCTGGTACCCATGAGGAAATCACAGAACCGAACCGGTTTGATGTCGAACTGAACGGCCGAAAAATGAGGTAGTTCTATTGTTTGCAGTTTTATCTGCACTCGGAAACTATTGACTTTGTTCTCAGTTAAGCCCCTCTATTCGGTGTGTTCCCCTTCTTTCAATCTCATCATCCCTCTTCAGCCAACACCACGGCCAGCACTCTGGCAGTGACTGGCAGCAACTGGTGGTGCTCCGATGTCCTCCCTCTTGTGGGCCTTTCACTTGCACAATTCACGTAGAATAATGCGGTAAGCAGTAATGGTGGAGGGTCTGGAAAATTGGAGATGCAGGCAGAGATGGTGGTAGAGCAGGAAATCATGAACTGCAATGTCCAGAGGACTCTATCAAAGTTACTGGCTTTTCGAATGGACGCAGTAGTCCCACAGAATCCGCATCTTGGCTATACTTCAAATTCTAAGATGTTTGTGCTCCTCATTGCAGGCCATTGACTGCAGTCCTCCTTTGCCTCGTAACGTGGTGCTTCAGCTGGAGAATTCTCTCCTCATTCCCTGCACCGCATTCTTCTACACCATCAATGTGAGCTTTAGCCCTTGTTGTTCTTCCATCGTCTATATTTCACCGAATCAATCCTCTCTTCCCAGATCGTCTCACTTCGTTCTACTTGGCTAATCAATAATATTCTAGCAACCCAGCCTACTTCATCATTGCACGAAGTACAGCGTCCTGCTTTCACCTCCAGGGCTTATGTATTGTACCTCCTCTCCTGTTGTTCAAACCTCTAAAGCTATCTTTTTACACCCTCACCATTATCTTTGTCCTCTGTTTCACATCAGCTCAGCAAAGCAGTCTTTATCGACTCAGCCTATATTGAATCGCTCATAGTGAAGCCGTACTCCATTCACTGCAGACATCTGTGCCTTTTTCCCACTATCCAACCCTTCAGAGCGACACTTGCTGGTCCATCAGCATGCAGCTGGGCTTCACAACCAGCAACCTCACTGCTCTCAATCCCGGCCTCAACTGCTCAGAGCCCATCAAGGCGGGCCACTCTCTGTGCGTCGAGCGCAACGCCACCTTCGCTTTCACCGTCCCTCAATGCTCGCGATACGGCGTGCTCACACCACAGGACACGTGCGAGCGCCTGCTGCGGCAGGTGGCGGGGAGTGCGGGCGACCCAGCAGGGGCTGCGGAGGTGAATGCCATGCGCTGGGCTGAGCTGTACCGCAACAATCCCGGCCTCATCTGCTCCGATGTCATCCCAATCACCGCCTCTGCTGTTGGCAGCAACACTGGCGTGCAGGTGTGTGGTGGAGGGTAGAATGGACCAGGAAGGATGGGGGGGCAAGAGATGGGAGGAAAAGGTGGAGGGAAAACTGTGGAATGAAGGGGTGTTCGATGGGTGAGGGTGCAATGGGTCATCTCTCATTTCGTAAGCCCTTTGGTCCAACTATGTGCCCTTGTAGGAAATTATCTTCTTGTGCCTATCTCTTCCTTCTACTTCCTCCATGTATGTTCCTTCCATACGTTGTGTTTGTAAATGGTGCCATTGCAGATTTGCCTACGAGCAGAGTATTGGTCATTCGATGTCGGCATATGCAAGAGGGGTAGGCAAAAACCAGTATCACCATCATTAACGTGCTCAGGAGCATACAGCTTCTATGGTGGAGCTCAGAATGGAGCCATTTCAAAATACTACATGTACAATGAGAAGAAGTGTGTTGGGAGTGTAGGCTCCAGATTTATTTGTGTGCCATGAGTATGACCTTGCATTGACGTAGCCTTGTCTGTAGTACGGTGTGTCAATCTGCATAAGGTTCCTCAATATCAGTTGAATGTTGTCTGTTTCTTTTATTCTTATACAGCCTTTCATGCTAACTTTGTTTGGTCGAAACCCAAGATTCAAGAATGCATCGTATTCCACTGGATAAAGGCCCCTAGGGGCTTCTACCCAACATCTCCCGGATAGTAGACACATATGTCTTTGTCAAACTATAAATATTGTTGTTAGGCTGTAGTGGCTATAAGGGGTATAACACGTTTAAGGTTGCGTACTTGTATGCCATCCTTCTAGTCACTCCACATTCCGTTGCTTCTAACTCGGGGATGGTACCGTATTACCCCGGATAGAAGCGCAGGTGCGCTTATAATAAAACAATGTTTTTTACAGGGGTGCGCTTCTAATTGAGTCATTTGTATAAGTGCCTGTAATAGGAAAAAAAAATCACTTTTGAACATACCAAATTGAACATAAGGCGAATTCAACCGACCATGCAACACGTGGGATTGTGCATGGTTTTCAGGCAAAAACAGAAGCGTTCGGTTTCCCACCGCACCGTTTTGTCTAGAACCATCGAACGTGACAGCAGTGACCGTGATGTTGCCGTGCGGCCCAATCACAACCGCATGCATTGCGTGGCATGTGCATTTCTTCCGAACCCTTTCGAAGGGGGGAAGATTTCCTGCCTGCGCAGCGTTTATGCTGCCACGCAGGGTCCTCTACGGGGGTAGGCGGGGGTTTCCCGCCTGTCATTGACGAGGACCCCGAGGTGCCAACCTTACGGGGTCCCCTTCGTTGCCCATTTGTGCAACTTCTTTCTCATTTTCTTTCATTCACATTCTAGTCTAGGCCGCCTGGCTGGCGAAGCCATGGCGGAATTCAGCATGACGCACTTCCTCTTCAAGAAAAAACCAGCTCGCCCGTGGCGACTTACCGTCGACGGGTGGTATACCCGTGAGCCAGCAGCGCCTCCAGTGCCACCTGAACCCCATGCGCCCCCTGCTCCTCCTGCTCCTCCTGCACCTCCTGCTCCTCCTCCTCCCGCTCCTCCCGCTCCTCCGAATCCGCCTGACATCGGTGCGAGTGCTCACCAACGGCCCGTGCCCCAGCTGTATTTATCAGCCACTTTCGACGAATGGCTGTCAGAACCTGACACACCCAAGGCCCCCGATGTGTTCATCTAGGCTCCGCCGCCTGCACCACGGTGGGGACAGCCTCAAGCCTGCACGTGGGATGAGTCGGCTGTGGGCGCCGACGATGACGTGGCTGCCGATAAGCAAAACAGCGGCGACGGCGACGGTGGAGGCGACGGTGAAGCGGGTGCCGAGGAGGACGTGTTCCCAGATCGTGGTGCATCTGCGGAGGACGACGACGGTGTGGAGTCATGGTGGGGCGACGCACCGCGCGAGAAGATGTTGATACCGATGTATCCGCCAAGTAACAAAAAACGACCCCACCGCTCCTTCGAGAACCGAGATGCCCGCCCCCCCTCTCCCAGGCACAAGCCGTCTCAACACAAACGGCAGTCCTACACCGCCCAGGAGAAACTCAGGTGGCTCGTGCGGCTGGAGCTGGCGGCATCGATAAGCGAGGTCGCGCGGGAGTCCGGCATACACCTCAAATGCCTGACGGAGTGGAAAACCCAAGCAGAGGAGCTCAGGGCTTCGCACGCCGCACGGTGTCGACTTCATGGGCGCGGGAGGTCTTCTTGGTACAGACCCATGAAGTTGAAGGTGTACGCACAACTCCTCGACTGGCGACGACGCGGTGTTGCAGTGTCAGTCGGCCGGCTCCAGGATTGGTCACGCGAGGTCGGAGCGCTTCCGCAAGCGGTGGAACCTCAGCGTGCGCATGAAAACTTATGTGGCGCAAAAAGCACAGGAACGTGAGTGCCTCTTTTCTTGCTTACTGCGCATGGTTCTCCCGCTGAATTCGCATGGTTTATTAGTTGTTGCTCCCGTGTGAATATCTTTATCTTGTAGCGTTACTCATCCTTCTTCCTATTTGTCCTTCCCTCCCCGTGCGCAGACGTGGCGACGCAGTGCAAAAAAAATTTGGCAGTTCGTCCGCGACGCACGCAACGAGTACGCGATCGACAATCGGTACAGAATCAACGCCGACCAGACGCATCTTTGGTTGGAGATGCCGGCCACTACCACCGTGGAGCAGACGGGCGTGAAGCCGGTGCCCATCCGTAGCGGTGGTTACCAGAAGGAACGAGTCACCATGATGCAGGCGTGCACGGCGAAGGGCGAGAAGTTGAAGCCGTGGGTGTTCTTCAAGCGCAAAACACTGCCGAAGGGTGACTGTTGGATGCACGTCATTCTGAGTGCATGTCATCCTAACGTCCTGCCGAGTGCTCGTGCTATTCATGCGTGCATTGTTTGCATGAGCATATGTCATTGTGCATGGCTGTTGGATATTTTTATCTCTGTGTTTTTCTCCAAGTTTAAATGCTTGATCAGGCATGAGAAATCCAGAGCTTTCCAGCGATACCAAGATCGCCGTATTCCGACCAAGATCGCCAAAGTTACAAGATTTCCAAGACTTGGATTTCTTATTACCTTTTGGAGTTATATCTAATTTGGGTGATTACTTGGGACATGACTATAAAGGGATCTTTGGTTGGGTGGTTAGGAAAGGCAACTTTGACTTTTGGATTGGGGTGGCTAGAAGTTTCTAGCATGGGTTGCAAATGTTGCAACACCTAGGCAAAATCCAACGAGATTGGATTTTGCATGTGACACCTCAAGGACCTCATGACGAGGGTTGCATCCTTGCTGCTAGGAAGGTTCCTACCATCCTTCCCTAGCTCTTGGAGAACCCCTTCCCTCTCATGGTTCTCTTGGAGTCCCCAACTCCAACTTCCTATGCCTTAATGCTTGTACTTCCTCCACCATTCTAGTCATGCGGCTGCTGGACGTTTTTATTTGGTTCTCACTCTATAGACCATCTTAACGACTGATTCAACTTGGAGATGGTAGCTAAGGCTAAGGCACACAATCCTACTGAGCGGATTTGCGTTTAGTTGAGAATTGAGTTCGTCGTAAGCTCTCAAAGTGACGGATCCTGAACAACAAGTGGTATCAGAGCGGGTAGTCGACTTTGAGACGACAAACGATATCTCAAGTTTCCACCGTTCCTAAGGCCTCAATATGGTTGGTACGAACTCCGGAGGTGCTAGTGGCGAGATGGATAGAAGTAGAGAGGCTGGAGAGAAAGGGGGAGTTGCTGGTGGAGTGGGGACTCACCAACCAGCCAACCCTACGCTACCCTCAACTTCTATACCATCTCCTACAACTGTGGATCCTGTGAAGGCTTTCTCTATTGAGAAATTCATGGGGGAGGACTACGAGCACTGGAGCTTCCACATGAGGCTGATGTACACCCAATACAAGCTATTGGATTTGGTGGAGGGAAAGGAGAAGATGCCGGAAGCCGCGGAGTTGAAAGGAGCGTGGATGAAGCGATCGTTCGACGCGTACATGCTAATGGTGCAAGCGGTTGGCGGCCGACAACTTGACCACATCAAGGACCTCTTGGGTGATCCAGAGTGTGGCCCCAAGGCTTGGAGGAAGCTTCTGGATGTGCACTCACCGACACATGCTACCGGCATCGTGCTACTCGCGCGGCGGCTGCGCGACATCAAGTTCGTTGATGGAGAGCGATGCAACCGGTGTTGGGTGAGATGCGGGACATCTTCACGAAGCTACAAGGCGGCGATGTGGTGTACCCGGAGCTCGTGCAATGCGTGGAGATCGTGATACGGCTGCCGGAGTCGTGGTCTGCCCTTGCGATCAACCTGAACTCTCAACAGCCCCAGTAGAGCGTGGATTACATTCGCGCGCGCATCCTAGAGGAGGATTTGCGGCGGCGGAGTGTGGAGCGCTCAGAGGAGGGGGCTGGCTATGGAGTTGGAGGTGGAAAGCCCAACAACAAGGACAACCCTAAGGAGGATGGCGGTGGGGGTCAAGGGGAGGTGTGCTTCTAATGCAAGAAGCGCGGACATCGTTGGCGGAAGTGCTACCAACGACCCAAGAATTGGACCTCGCCTTCATCAAGCAACCGGCGTGCTGGCACGAGGAGTGGGGGAGTCATGGAAGCTAGTGGAGAGGAGAAAGGCGGCAAATCTGAGGAGCGAAAGGCCGGGTTCTTCTTCTTCGTGAACGAAGGCGCAACCGACCTCGCTATGGCTGCCAAGGTTCTCCTACACCCCCTCACCCATTGGGTGATTGACTCTGGGAGCTCTTGGCACATGACTCCTCGTGCGGACCTACTCGGTGAGATTCAGCCCGCACCCATCTCTACAGTCACATCCGCGACGGGCGCCAAGGCCAAGGTCATGGGCATGGGATGCGCCAAGTTCATGGGAGCGGATGGAGAGCTCGTGAGGCTGAAGAACGTGCTGTGGGTGCCGGACTTGTGCGCGAACCTGATTTCTACCGGCCGGTTGGGAGATGCGGGTGTGAACACCGAGACGATTGGCTCGGAGCGCTATCGTGCTTACAACGGTGAGCGCCTCATTTGGGACCTGCAGTGGA